AGTTGGGCGCCGGCCCCGCTGTAGGCTGGAGAGCCGTCCTGTCCATAAAAGATGTAACCTCGAAATCTCGAGCAGTTGAAAAGACTGGCTAGCCCAGTGCCAATGTCACTGACGCCTCTCCCCCCTACAGAAGCAGGCCCGATGACATTGAGCGACGGTCTCGGCCAATACTAGCCATTCCCTCGTTAGATTTGCCTACCATTGCATTGATATCTTTTGCATCCTTTTCCCTCCCCACGACAGCAGAATCATGGGATCCGAACTTGGGGTCACTGCCGCATCCACGCCCCAGCCAGCCTATACTGCGGTCAGTATATGGTGGGCCTGCTGGGCGGGTACCTGGACGGTTGTTGTTGCGTCTGGCATGGCCTATCTCATCGCCCATCGCAACACGCCTCCCCTCCTGCTGCGGGGCCTCGGGCTGTCGCTGTCCGCCGTTGTTATGCTTCATGTCTACTGGGCTTCAGTGCAATTCGGAACCATGGTTGGTACCATCATGCCCGGAGATGCCGAGTACTGGATCATGGGCACCTATCTACCGTGTGGCATTGCCCTGTTCACGCGTCGAACAGTCGCTTCTACTACGTGGCTAAGCTTCAGGAAGGCTATATCATTCGCAGTAGTGGCGGTAATGATTTATCCTCCACCTCGAGGGGCAAGCTCGGTGCCGTAGACCGGTTCCGTCGCCTTGCATACACCACCAAGATCCTCGTGCTTGTTACGGTGGCGTCGCTCGTTCAGGTAAAACGGCCACCGCCTACTCCTATTCAAAATTGTATCGGTTTCTAATTGAGTCATTAGGTGTTTCTCACGGTCTTGATGTGGCTCATCTCTCGCAAATGGCATCATACTTGGGGGATTCCAGGCACCGAGGTCCATGGGACCGAGATGCAGCAAAAGTCGGAAATGGGCCGGGGCTGGGAGTGGTAAGTAGACCTTCCAATATGCGCCCGGCACACATACGATGAGAGCTGCGCGCTAACGAATTTGCAGGTGGCCTGGTGTGTTTGGACAGGTTTTCTGGTCGTGGATTGTGGGCCCCGTCGTCTGGAAATCCCGTCACATCCACGACACCCACGGCTGGCGAGTCCAGACGATGGGCTGCGTCATCGCCAAGTGAATCAATCGCTCCGATGAGGTCTGTCGCACGACTAACCCGTCCTCTAGTCCCCACCACGTCGTCGCTGTTGGGACTGGGTAATCGTGTCAGGAAAGTGCATCACAGCCAGAATGGAGGCCCGTATGGAACGGAGGTCCGTATCCGTCCATGCCCGCTGCCATTCATGTACAATAGTTAGCTTAGATGTTGTGGTACAATGTACTGTATACAGTATTCACTCGGATTCGGTTCCATCTGTAGTATATCCTGGTCCTGAACAATGACGCAGACGACGTCGCGAGTCCTGGGTAATTCCCTCCGGTTCGCTTCGGACAAGCAGTCTGCGAGTCGGTGTATG